TCATAAACTGAAACGACTATTCGAGAATAAGTTAAGGAAAAATAACAGGAAGAGGATTCGAAGAGGTGTTTAAATTGCAATTTTAATATTTAGTCTACAGCACCGGAATAATATAGTGACAGACAATAAAGTGGTGGACAATTCTCCGCCCACCGCAACTACGGTGTAAAAGTTTTTAATTTTTTTCCACCTTCTATATACATTTATATATGTATAAACATATATAATATATATATACAAGAAACCATCGTAAAACTGCATGTCAAGTCGAAATAAACTAAATGCATTAGTTTTACAAACACAACAACACACACACACACACACACACACACACACATAAATATATAATATAATATATACATTATATATATTATCTATTTTGCATTTTTTTTAAATAGCTTTTGTTTTTAAGTTCCATTGAAAATTATTAGACTAATATATTTTTACAACCTTTTTCGCTCGAACGCGACATCTGTTCCAATAATGTTTTAATTTAATAGCCCACAAACCGCTATAATAGCAACAATACAAAATTATCTAAGTCTATACCATCACCACCACAACCACTGACACCACGTACACCACCTTCATATTTGCAATTAATAAAAGTGTATACTCAATAATTTCTACGTTGATATATTTTCTCAGTCGATGAGTGTATTTTTGTTGTAAAAACATCTTTCTTTATGCGATTTAAAACACGAGTAAAATATGTGTTACTCGTATAACTAATATACACTTTTGCAAAATAATCCTATTTTTAATTTCATATTTTGATGTGCCTATAATATTCTTATGAAAACGTCCACGTACAACCATTATAATTCATTAATTATAAGAATTTAAATAAGAACCGTCCTTTTATGTAGCTGGAGTAGGTATATACGATATAATGAGATTGTATGATCAATATACACAGTTTAGTATGACGAGAAAAATTGCCATGACGGAGCATTAGTAATAACTCAAATAACAGCGTTAAAAATAAGCACTCGACAATATGACGAGCTTACTTAGTATACAGTTAATAATTTATTCGGCAGAGCTATCGCCCAATTATGTCATTTTCTGCGGTATGATATAATGAAAATAGCGATAGGTTACAGTATAAAGTATTGTTATATTACTGGACCGGGAAGAATCGAATACATTATCCAACGAAAAATGCTTGTTTAAGATATTGAGAAATTCTATAGTCCACAAAAACTCTATGCCACTTGAAAATAATAACTATTTGTTTTTTTTAGTTTAATGTTTTTAAGAATACCCACGCAATAATACACTATATTTTGTGATTAATATTGACACACATATTCATATAATATCACTATTATTTATATGATACTAAAAATAGTTCTAAACAAAAAGTTAAACATTTATATTGTTCATAACTGTTATCGTATGTATTTTTGGAAATATTAAAATAATAAAGGGAAATTCATATTATTAAAATATTAAACGTCTGCTATAAGCCGACTGGTAAATAAATAAATATTAATATTCATTTGATATTTCAAAAGTTAATTAATTATCAAAATATGTATATTACGGGCTATACCTGAAAATTTTATTATTAAATTCGTTTGATCTCAAACTTTGTAAGCATTTTCAATCAAAATTCCTTTGTTTTATTTTTATTTTTAGAATACACGAGTTCAAAGAAAAATATTTTTAAAACTGATAAATCTATTTACAGAAGTTGCGCGACTACTTTTGTGAAACTATCTAAAATTGTAATTGAAAGTAAAGTTCACGAAATACAGAAACTTATTATCGTCTCAAACAAAATACGTGCTATAGATTCGATTGATATTTTTAAATCCAATTAAATAGCTGTTGGTTTATTTTCAAAAAAATATTTCATAGTTTTTAAATATTATATTTAAAGTTAATGAATATATTATACAATATTATGTACTAAAAACAATACGTATAAGTGAATAATCAGAATATGTTTTGAATATATCGTATACCGAATTATAATCTTTATTTTTAAACAATCGTATCATAAGTAATAGCTTATTATTCATATTTTGACGTACTATACGTACGTATTTTTACTTTTTTAATGTATAATATAATCTGTTATTCTTTTTATTTATAACAAATAAAATATTATAATAGTGTTAACTGTGATTTGAGTGTACTTAGTTTTTAATGATGATTGAACGACTTTAGAAGTCACGTTTGTCGATTGTTGACAAACTTGGACTGCTAAAGGCTTTGAGTAGAAGTTGGGTCCATAGTGTATATACGACATATAATGTTATGTAATCTAGTGATCAGTCATTGGGTGATCAAAAAAAAAAAATAAAATGAGCTATAGTGTAGCTAAATTGCCTACTCGAGGTGCCGTGATACCGTAGATTTACTACAAAAATTATTGGAATATTGTATAACAAAAAAATAATTATTATTATAACCTGTTATGAGGTACCACGTAAGTTTTAATAGTAGTACAAATAGCCAGTGTTTGTTTGTTTGTTTGTTTTTTTTTTTAATTATTAGAAATTGTACAATCTATATATACAAATTATTACGATACGAAAATTGTATATTTACGATAATATATAAATTTATATGTATATATCATCATGTTGAGAAAGAAACCTATTGGTAACAATTTTTTTGCTAATTTTACTGGTCTCTACACCATTTATATCTTAATCTACATAGTAGGTTATTTATTGGAAGGGTAATGGAGGACATAAAGGATATCGGTGTATTGTTATGCGTACTTAAATTTTGGTAAAAATAGTAATATCGTGGATGAAATCAGTATTTTGTATAACTTTTTTACTTTGTTTTGGCCTAATTTTTAATCGGCATTTTGACTGGGGAATTAATTTAAATAAATTCCCAGACTAATTTATTGCTAAAAATAAATTTATTCACACAAGTTTAAATTATATGAATAATATTTTATTTTATTTTTTACGTAAAAACAAAAGTCACCGGTCTATTGATAAAATATTTGGTAGTTTTTGAAAAATGAAACACCTTGTTTCCTTAAGTTGTAACATATTCCCAACATTTCATAGTTTTATTTATAGTGCTGACAGTATCATAAATAGTTGAATATTATAATTGACGCATTTCTTTTTTCTGTTAGGTTTTTAACGAACACCTATATCATGTATACACGTATATTAGTGGTGTGTATAATATAATATATTATATAAATATATATATATATATATCCGTAACAACGTACATGAATAATAATTGACGCGTGTCGTTTTTATCTAGCAAATTCTGGTGAACATGCATAGCAGTTCACATGCATCATTTTATATTTTTTCTTGTATGAGCCTCTGCCCCGGGGAAATGTGTACCTACATTACCTTTTATATCAAACGCCAAATTATACGTACCTATATTATATATTATACATTACTTCAGGAGCTCTGAAATGAGAAAACGTATACAATTTTCTTGAACTTAAGTACACCGACCGTATTCATAACATCTCCCATGACAATTTAAAATATTATTTATCGCTGACGTATCTCGTAAGGCTATATTATTATCTTCGTTTATATGTTAATGATACGTATCAAATTTTTTTCTGAAATCATTTTCTCGTGACATAAAAAAATATTTTCTACGTGTGTACGATAATCCTTATCCTACCCGTGAATCCCGGTGAACCAATAGCCGTGCGTGTTTACGCGATTATTCTCAATCAAAATGACTCTACAGTGTACATATTATATGCATATTCAGTAGACTCTGCCAATTTTCGAAAACATCTTACAAACCTATCTAAAATATTTTTAACAGATTATTGATAGAAAATACGTGACATTGATATCGTTTTCAGTACGGTTGTAAACAGTCCGATTGACAAGGAATATTTCTAGTATGAACTTATATAATTATTTTCTTGATATTATTCGAAAAGTATAATTTGTAATTATCGCTATGCATTATTTTTGCATTTAATACCTACGTGAATGTTTACATTAAATTTTAGCTTCTGTACGGTGACGTTCTACGAGTGTCTTCTATAGTAGACGCTTCAGCAGCATGACTTTATACTTATTTTAGTTTTAAATATGGATTTCGCGTTTGGTTTTCTCCGTAAGTTCGGTGTAAAAAAAAGTTAGCAAATAAAAAATCACGCTCGCTATCGGCGACGTTTGTGTGGGTTGAGTGAGGAGAAAATGGAAATAATATCGTCGGAAATATAAATCTCGATGTGGAGGGTGAGAAAAAATAGTAAAAGAAAAACGCAATATAAATAGCGTACTCGGCGACCGATTGGGCATTATTCATTTTTCTTTTTTTCGTTTTATTTTCATCCGCGGTCGTAAACTCGCGTATATGCACGTTGAACGTGTTCATCTATAATAGTGTGTGATGCGTGTCCCGCTATACGCACAAAAGTTTGACGGTGATGTATTATAGGATGTCGCCCGTGAACTAAAAACTCTTCGTCTCTCTTTTCTCTTCTTGTACTACCTATATATTTATCTTTCTTTCTCTCTCTCTTTTTCTCTCTGTCTGCTCCTGTCTGATCGATTCACAGCCGATCGTTGATTGCCAGCGCGGCCAGTACGAAAAGCACTTTTTATAAGCGCCCGAAAATCCGTTATATACAATTGAAAGTGATCATCACACTGTCGGAATTCTCATGTCACATGCAGGCGTTTGAATGAAAAATTAACGACACCTAAATTCAACTCATATCTATATAATAACGATTTTGGAGTACATCAGACTTGCAAAATATAGAACTGAATTACAGTAAAAATGTAGAAATTAGTTTTACTATAAAAAAATATTTCTATCTCGATTTCTACGAAAATACTAACTCTTTTATTATTTGACTACCCATTTATTGTATTCCCAACCTTAAAACTTGCTGTTAAGTACGTTGCTTGAGTAATACTAGTCAATTTGCGCGAACTGTCGTTTTAGCTTTTTTTATTATTATTATTATTGTTGTTATTTTATTTCTTGACTGTAAATTCTTAATTTTTGGAATGTAATTACAGACGGACACGATGGAGGTCTGTTCCAGTGCGTCGTTGCTTGGCCAACAACTCACTCTTGTCGAACTCGAAAGGCTTTCGTTCATTGGACCTGAAGAGTTTGTGCAAGCATTTGCTAAGGACAGTCCACATATCGATTCTTCGTTTAAAGACATGAAAAAGACAAAGAATCTCGAGTCGTATGTCCATTGGTTTAATCGGCTCAGCTACTTAGTGGCATCCGAAATATGCAAGGTAACCTTCCTCGTTTACGGCTACATAATATTTTTTTATTGTTTAAATTATTATTATAATCATTGATGTATTGGCTTCACTGTTTTCTTGTTTCAGCATTCGAAAAAAAAACAGCGTGTAAAAACAATTGAGTTTTGGATTGAGACAGCCCGAGAGTGTTTCAACGTGGGAAACTTCAATTCACTTATGGCTATCATTGCAGGGCTTAACATGTCGCCAATAAGCAGGCTCAAAAAAACGGTAATACAAACAATTGATATTATTTAGTTGGTCGTGGGTGACGCGAACTCGCCTCCCATCTAATTATTGTACAATTTTATAAATTGTTTTTGTTTCATCGCGTTTAGTGGAATAAAGTGCAACAGTCCGCTAAGTTTACCATACTGGAACAGTACATGGACCCATCGTCCAATTTCAGCAGCTACCGGTCAACGCTCAAGGCTGCTCTGTGGAGGAGCGCTGGTGCCACCGATCAGCGTCAGAGGGTTGTCATACCGTTCTTTTCGTTACTCGTCAAAGACATTTATTTCCTAAATGAAGGATGTCGTAATAGGTGATTATAATTTATATTATAATATATAGAACTATACATTTATAAAAAATATAAAATACGTTGTCTTAAGTATGTTATAAAACATAGCTTTTCAACACAAAGTTTGAATAAGATACTTATAAATTCAACTACAAAATATTTTTTTTTTCATTTTTAACAGTATTTTTTTTTAAATGATTTCACAATTTTCTTTGGATTATGCATTATTTAATTTATTTTAAATATTAAATAGTAGCTATATTATTATGAGCAGTGAAATTTGTTTAAACTCGATAAGATAAAATGGTAATTAGGTGCACTAAGTTATCACGCATGGTGGTCGTGAGTTCTTGAGAAAATTGCATGATTAGAAAATATACTAGTATCGTTATAATTATTGTCTAATTTATTTTCTTCTTTTTTTTTTTTTTTTTTTTTTTAATATCAATTTTTATACATCATATATTTTAATTTTTAGCGTATTTTATGCTATATTTTTTTCATGTTATTAAATTCAAAATATGTAATTGTTAATAATACGTTGGTGCATATAATGTATCTACTATTATAATAATAAACACCATTAATTAAATGTAAATATTATGAAATATAATTAAGATAATATATTTTTCAGTTTTTTTTTTAATTTCTTTATATACGTATATTATGGATTATGCAAAATAGATATCGAACTATATATTTGTATATATACAATAAAAGGAGTAGTATCTATTTATAATCTAGTTTTCTATTTTATGACCTAAAAAAACAATATATATATTTTCTCTCATTTCATTATTGTTTGGGTTTTTTGAATTGATATAAAATAACAAAATAAGTTGAGATTTAACGAAATTCATTAAATTAAATTTTTTTTTTTAGAAACTTTAATATTTTTGTCGTAAACAGTAGTAAAAATAATATTCAGAACTCTTGTTATTAATCATATATTAATAGCATACAAAATGTAAAACAACATTTAAAATTAAATATATATATATATATTGTTATTGTTGAGCATTTAATTAATTTCATAATACATATTTATATACCTTTTTTAATCTTAAATTTTTCAATATAATTAAGCTACTAGGCGTAATAATATGTCGTTTCACTAATTTTAATTTCTATGCATAGCCAGGTAAATTCTTCAGTGATATATTAAGCAATAGTTTACTGTTAAAAAATATTAAATTTGAATATATTTTCATTTTTTTAAAAATCTTTACCATCTGTATTCAATCATTTCAAATGTTTATACAATTATTACATTTTTATTCTAAAAATGTATTTTTGCCAGGTAAATTCACACATCGATATGTAAAGCGAGTTAACTTTACTATAATTTACAGCAGAAATGGTTAACCTAAATAATCTTAGGGGCCACTTTAGAAATGCATTAGAATGTCGCAAATGGTTTACAATATTATATAATTCATGTTAGATTTGCAGCCAATAAATAAAAAAAAAAAATAAATAAAAATTATACAAGATGACCGTGGACTGGCCACCTCTGCTTGCAGTGGATAAAGGATAGATGTATCGTTTCACTTAATATTCAAAATGTTTTGATTATAAGTTGTTCCGGTTTGATTTTACGCTATAAAAATCAAACGAAATAAGTATTTTTGTTATTATTTAAACGACATGATGTTTAATAATATTTACTATGTAGAAATTTATGTTTTCTAACGCTGAATCGAGAAAAAGATAAACAATATTTACTCCTACACCGATTTAACGCTTTTTTTAATTGTTGTATAAGATATTAAATGATAAGATTCTCTATAAAAATTGGGATTTTTTTTTCAGGCTCGACAATGGCCACATAAATTTCGAAAAATTTTGGCAATTGGCCAAACAGGTGACAGAGTTCATTACGTGGAAACAGGCGGCTTGCCCGTATGAGAAGAACGCCAATCTTGTGTTGTTTCTCCTCACCACGCCAGTGCTCAACGAAAAAGGTTAATTTAGTTTATTTGCTTGCTTTTTTTTTTTTAATCATAGCAATTGCCATTTCTAATTTTGTTCTTATTATTTTTTTTTTTTTTTGTTTATCACTTATAGCGCTCACATTATTGTCATTCGAACGCGAACCGCCAGACAACAGCGTGGAAAAAGAACACTACAAAACCCTCAAGTAAGTTTGGGTTTTTTTTTCTGCTCTGTCGAATCAAATCATAATTACGTACAGAATTAAAACGTCCTTCTAATGGACAAATTCATTTCAAATTAACTTCTATTAAGTTCTTGTACTGTTTTTATTTTTTTGTCCGTTATAACAACGACGCAGGATGTTAAGAAAAATAAAAACGATCTATACAATGACGATTTAATTTTAAATATTAGATGCGAAGTTTGAATCTCTACACATATTATGAAATTTAATCTGTACAATATATATAATTAAAATTGACAATTTTTCGGTACATTTAGATCTACACATTCGTCTGTTTGCACTGAATTTGTCCATAAAACATAAAAATATGGTACCGTTATTTAGATAATAATTCTTAACCTTATATGACTAAATCTAAGGTAACGAGTCAATATTAAACTATTTGAAATAAACCTCTTAACTATCATTGAAATAATACTAAAGAAAACTTTTTTTGTGTGTTGAATTTAAAAAAAAAAAATGTTTGTTCTACAAGTATACATATTTTACTATTTAAACTTAAAAAAAAAAAAAACTATTAGCGATTGCATAATATTTTACTAGAGTAATTAAAAAAAGTTTTTAAACAAATACGATGAAATAGAAATATGTTAATTGAATGAATTATAAACATGGTTTTATTTTTTTCAGGACTGCATCGTAATATGCTGTATTCTCAATTATTGTATACACTTCTGGACTTTAATTTTCCACTTCTTCAAAAGTCTGTTTTAATTTATTTTTATTTTTTTTCAAAGCACAAAGATGTGTAAATGTTTTTTTTTTTCAATGTTTCATCTTAGGATTGACTTGTATGATTATTATTATTATTGCACAAAAGGCTTCCATATTAGTGTTGCATTTTGAAATAATGTATATTATGTATTTTTACGAAAATTAAAATGTTAAGAAAAAAAAATAATTGTATAAAGTTGAATAGGTTGTATTTTTATATGTACTTAAACCGATTATATTTTATCGAATTTACGATTTCCACTTCATATTAAGTTGTTCAAATATCGTCAGTATTATTTTCAAACAAACTAACAAGTTCCTCCTAATCAATTTGATTTAATTTAATTTATCTATAGTTATTATTTTATATTATTGTATTGTATTTTTTTTTTTTTTTTTTTGTATAGTACAAACATTTTATGAATTTGTATAAATCATGAATAAAAATAAAAAAAAAATCTCTAATTAAAAGTAAATCAACATTTCTGCAAACGTTTTGTTATCCAACCTAACTCCTTTGTCATATTCCGTCATATATCTTTGGAATTAAAACAACAATAAATATAATTTTTATGAAAAAAAAAGAGATAACCAAACAGCGTTGTTGAACGCGTCAAACGAATACTATTGTTATATATAGGTACAAAATAAACTCGGTAAACTCAACAGTATTTTTTTTACTGGCAGAATTTAATGTTTATTATCTCAATGCATTAAATATTATACTTACACTAAATTAATTTAAAAAAAATGCTTATTTTAGTTTATTTTAAATGCTAATACCTTTATTTGTTTATAATTTTGTAATATAGAATTATGTCGTCATTAAATAATATCAAGTACTATTCATAATATAGTATTCAATTAGGCATACGATTTTTAATATTAAAAAAAAAAAAAAAACAACCACTTAAGACGACAATTGTTTTCGTTTTAATTTAAAATTTTACCATAATATACGTAATATTACGTACATTTTACCAGCTTTATTCGAAAATATTATCATTTATAGTGTGTTATGACTTTGAGTTAAATGGTTTATTTTTAAATTGTTTTCTCCGCAAAATATATAGAAACCATCAATTGAAGAAACAAAAAGTTTAACCCGGTGATGCATATTATGTATATATATATTTATATTTAATAATATCGCTATGGTATGCACAAAAATATTATTAGAAACAGAATACATTTGGATTTGATCCACTGGAATAAGCTGACCAATCATTAGAACATTTTTATGTTTTTAGGTAAAATATAAGATAACAACATTTTTTTTTTTTCTAACAGGTAACATTTGCCACAGTCACCAAAATTAATATATTTTATAAGATTAATGTTGTAACGTTTAAGTATGTAAGTTTCCTTTAGCAATCGTTACACAATATAATTACGTTAACCAGCCGATCCCGTGTTACAATAACTAAGTTGCCCCTAGTAATCAATGAAATGTTAATATTGTTAATAATACTAATCTTGATAATAACTCTTTTTTTATAATTTTTTTGTAGCCGGTGATGACAGTTATGCAAAAATCTGAAAAACACTAAAAGGTTTTTGGGTGCAGATTTAATAGAATATTGATATAATGGAATCTAATTTATTTTTAATAGTTTATTACAAATTATTTAATAAACTTAAAAATAACTTTTTCACAGATTTAAAGAGTTTTCAGCTAATTTTGTGCTTAATTGATTATCGGTTGGTCAACAAATTTTCAAGTCGCATAGGTGGATCTTAACTTTTTGATTATACTATAATAGATAGTTACTAATTTAATTTTTGTAATGTCTTAATGTTTCTGACGTTGATAAATTTGTATACAATTATTTAGTTTTGTCAGTTATTGTCATTGACTTCGACTGTAGTCCGTGCAAGTATTTCACAAATCGTGTAAAACACAAGAGAGAACACAGGTCGATGGTCTATCATTAAACTTAACAAATGTTAGTACTATTATCTATAGTTCATAAAAAAAAAAAAAAAAAAAAAACGTAAACATTATTTTGAAAAACCCGTCATGAGAGAGAAAAAAAAAATCAAAAATTCAAAAAATGTGAAGATTCGATACTCGCCGTACATGTATGACTTAATTAATAACGCATACTTACTTCCCATTGATAGTACCTAGTCGTTTTCGAATAGTGTTTGGTCGCCGTGAATCGGAACAACAGCGTTCACTCGTTTATATCGAAATATTGAACGGTATAATATACAATACTACGAACGCAAAATTACTAAATCATCATAATAATATTACTGCCATATTTTAGACACTACAGATTGAGTAAATCCGTTTGACCAGCTGGTTGTACAGTATTATTATAACAGTCTTGACCGCTACCGCCACATCAGCCTATACATATAATATTTAGTAGTGGTCGAGTTTTCGGTATCGCTTACAAAACAACAACGCCGTAATTGGCGTCCCGGGTGTAATGTACATCACTTATACATGCACAGGCTCACACGGCTGTTGTGTATGCGTTTTTAATGGTCTGTCAGTGTGGGATGCGGACGGCTGTCATGTACGCCTCGTGTAATATACAAAGTTCACTAGGACGCATCAAGCGTGCTAACCCCATTTTTTTTTTTTTTTTTACATTAAAAATAAATGTATTAAAATTACGATTTTAGAAATTTTTAAGTGGATACACTTAAGTCTGTTTTTTGAGACAATCATATTTTTTTTTTAGTCGATGATTTAAGCTTCTTTTTTTTTTTTACTATAAATTGTAAAACGGACGATTTTTTGGGGAAATGTTTATATAATATCTGAATTAAAATTTGAACGAATGGTTTCTCAGTTGGAAATAACGTAAGTATACGAATATGAAATGCATAAAAAATTGGATTTAATACTTTTTGAAAGTAGTATTTAATATACATAGAATTTTATGTTTTGTAAACATTTTGCGACTCAAAAAAAATGTTATCATAGAAACTTTAACAACTTAAAGCTTTCCACAATCACTTAAATTAATTTATAAAATCCAAATTTAAATCAAAAAAAAAAAGAAGAATTTTTTTATAATAACCATAATTGTAATTGAAATAATAACAAAATGCATTATTTGTCATAAAATCATCATGATTACAAGTTTATAATAGATACCTACAAATAACATAACCTATATTTATGTGCGAAAATAGTATAACACTACATCGTACAAGTGACCAGGACTTTGTTTTTTCTTTTTATATTTCAATAAATCTGTTTCCGATGTATTTGTAATTATTGCCATTAATCTCATTTACTATCGTAATTCTTCATAAAAATTTATTTTTTCAATATTTTAGGTAGGCAGAACACCTGTGAATTATAATCTGCTTATCGTCGAGTGTGAAAATCGCATCGTCCGATAACTAATTCATTCGTGAAATTAAAAACTGCAGGTGGCGCGCGTGTACGTGAAAACTGAAAATCATCGCAATATATTTATTACGATTAAAAATAAAAACAGCTCGAACGCAAAATTTTAAATAACCGACAGCGAATCCACTTATTAGTTTATATTGATCCATACGTATAATAATATGTTTATAAGTATTATGGTCTAATAATAGTAACATATTCCGATGTTCGGCAAATTATAATGTATGTTATGCTGCATTCATGAAATTAAACAACGCCGTTACCAAACACTTGAAATTGGAAATATGATTATATATGAGCAATTTTACGGAATCGATAAAATGTTAATTTATGCATGGTATTATACATAATAATGTTTCTACCCAAGTTATATGTTGGTATATATAAGACTTACTATCCTTATAAATAATCAACTACCTACTTGTTCGAAATATGATTTGTATGTGTAAGTATTGCTATTTTTAAAAACATATTCTTCTTCAGTATATAAAATTGTAAATTAATACTTTCATTCAGAAAATTTAAAATACAATTTAAACAAATTATAATGAAATAAATAAGTAGTAAAAATTAATTTTTTTTTTTTTTTTTTTTTTATTATTAATTAATTATTTTACTCAAACTTTTATTTAATTTCAAATTATATTTTCAAGAAAAAAAAGTATTTATATAAATATATAAAAACATTTATTCTATACATTTCGATAGAACTTATGTTTTCATATTAAATGAATAACTTTTTGTAATATCCTCATTATAATATTATTACTGAGCTTAACCATATTATTATTTATTTTAGCTTTAACGCGAATACAAGAAAAAAAATCAAATGATTTTCTTCAACTCAGTATATAATAACATTTTCACGTAAAAACAGCTTTTCACGAAAGTAAAATATATTTAGATACACATTATTATAATTTACCCAAAATTTTATATATACTGTGTATACCATATTAAATAAGTAAATATATGTATATTAGGATGTTACATGTTTACGAGAGTAAAGTTTACTGTTTCATTTTGTTGTCATTATAACTATTATTCGCATGTCATGTTTGTATATCGAGTATTTATTTTATTTTTATTTATTTTGTTTGTACTACTCGACTTTCAAACCATTTTTTATTTCGCCTCTCGTTCATCGTCTAGAATTATATATATATATATATATATATACTGTATGAATGCAGTCACTGGTTGCATGTGTGAAACAGAACAATAAAAAAGACAAAATAAATTCGTGGAAAAAGTATCCTCCATCGAACAACTCAATCTACAGTGAATGTTAAAGAAAATCGCTCCAATTTTATATTTTATATCCAACCTGTTGGCTGTAGAGTGTAGATTAATACAATAATTTTTCTTTTATCTAGATGAAATTAACTCACTTTTATATGCTCGAACATGATATGAATTCAACTAATCACCAACCAAAACAATGGATATTTGAATTTCAGTATAAATAAGATACTTATATTTGTTGTTGTAATAATAAATTATAATTCGATATTAATTATTATTTAAGAATAACATAAAATCAAAAAAAAATACACGTAAATTTAATCATATTATATTTAGGTGCCATTTAATTAATGTCAACATTGTGTTATGTTTGCAGTATAAAAGCTTAAATATTGATATAAAAATGACTGCTTTCGTATTTAATTAAGAACTTTTTTAAGATATACATTAATATATAATTTCAAGTATTACAAGAGTTTTAATATATAATGACTTGCAGTACTACTTCAGATAAGTATTATACTGTGGCTAGGTATTTACTGACTGAATTCCCTTAACTCATATAATATATACTTTCTTGTATAAATATATTATTAAGTATCAATGACAGGCGATTTGTATAATTTTTAAAGTTATAAATAAAAATCTTACAAGCAAATTGTCATCTTTATAACCTTTAACAATTTTTTTTTAAAT